AAGAAAAAAATATGAATTTTGTGAACAAAGATTTACTCTAAATTGAGTTGAGTGAGATATCTTTCACTATTACTATTATTATTATTATTATATTTATATAGTGCCTACATATTCTGCAGCACTGTACAATAGAGGGAATATAGACATATAATGAATATATCCTGATGCAAACAAAATGACTAGGAAGGAAGGAAGGACTAGGAAGGAAGGACTAGAAAATAATAGAAAACTGCAACAGAACAGATGTTTGGTGAAGCTGTACTCCCTATCAGAGGTGTTACTAGAAACCACCAGGCCCTCTGTGTTTTATTCCCTCCTCATAAGCCCCTCCATGTGTCTCTCCCCCCTCTCCTGTATCTGCTCCCCATGGTACCCAGCCTGACTGGAAGTTCTTTTGAATTTTCCCACGCTGTGTAATTTGACTCATAACACCCTGATTGGTTACTTAATCCACCAATCAGAGTGCTCTGTGTCATTTTACACAGCATTGGAAAATTCCACAGAACTTTCTCACGCTGTGTAAAATGACACGAGCACTCTGATTGGTGGATTTCAAGCCAATCAATCAGAGTGCTGTGACAGGTAAATGTAGAGACTTACCTGTCAGTCTCCTTATTTACCTGTCACAGCACTCTTATTGGATGGCTTAAACCCACCAATCAGAGTGCTCTGAGCCTAACTGCAGGGCGGGGCAAGGCTTTATAAGCCTTCCCCTGCCCTGCAGAGCTCAGTCTGCGTGGGCCCTCCATTGGTGAAAAAAAGATTTTTATTCTTTTTTTTTTTTTGCGTTCGTTTTTTTTTTTTGCGTCGGTTATTATGGATTTTTATTTGGCCTTTTTTGGGGCTGAAAAAAGAAGAGTTTAGATGAAAGAAGACATCAAATGGTGTCTTTTTTTTTTAATTTATTTTTTTACAGGTATTTAGATAAGGGTCCCCCCTCATTATTTTTAGGATGAGGGGGGTAGGTAGGGGTAATTTGTTTTTGGGGAGGGGGGTAACTAGGGGTTTGGGGACCCCTAGTCGCAGGGGGAGGTAGAGGCTGGGGGGAGGACAGTAGGTCCCCCCCCAAATTCTTATTTATGGCCCCCACCCACCGCTCAGGGGTGGGAGCCGGGGGGGGAGGACATTAGGTCCCCCCCAAATTCTTATTTATGGCCCCCACCCACCACTCAGGGGTGGGGGCCGGGGGTGGAGGACAGTAGGTCCCCCCTCTTATTGTTATTTAGGGCCCCCACCCACCGCTCAGCGGTGGGGGTCGAGGGGGAGGACAGTAGAGGGAAGGGAGGGAGAGGAACACTAAGGGACAGGTAGGGGAGTGGAAAGGTACACTAAGGGACAGGGAGGGGAGAGTAACACGAAGGGAAGGGAAAGGTATACTAAGGGAAAGGAGGGAGGACAGGGAAGGGTGTGTGATGAACACTTAGGAGAGGGAAGTGAGGGGAAACGAGCAGTAAAGGACAGGGGAGGGAGGGAACAGGGAACACCAAGGGACACTGAGGGGAAGGGGAAGAAACACTAAGGGACATGGAAGGGAGGGGAGAGGAACACAAAGGGAAGGGAGGGAAAAGGAACCATAAGGGAATAGGAAAGGTAGGGGTAGGAACACTAAGGACAGGGACGGGAGGGGAAAAAAGCACTAAGGGACAGGGAAGGGAAAGGAGGAGAGATGACCACTAAGGAACATGGAAAGGAGGGGAGAGGAATCCACTAAGGGACAAAGAAGGGTGGGTGAGGGAACCACTAAGGGGGGCACTAAGGGGGGGAGAGACCACTAAGGAACAGGGAGAGGAGGGAAGATCACTAAGAGATAGCGGGGGGGGGAGAGAGGAGATCACCAAGGGACTGGGTAAGGGGGAGGAGAGACCACTAAGGAACAAGAGTGTAGTGGAAGAGATTACATAGAAATGTGGTAATGGGTGAAAGAGACACAGATGGGCTGGGGATGAAAAAGACACACAGTTAGGGGTTTGGAGCATGCTTTTGACATCACCATCACATACAAGACTATCTTACAAAGTCTTTTTTCACAAAATGTTCAGTGAAAACATCCTGTAAGCATGGTGTTCCCCAAACCTCTGACATTGTGTTATATGCCCTTTTCAATGCCTTAGAAATATTGTCTAAAGTTGGCATGACAAAACAGTTTATTGAAATCTACTAGTTGATCTGGTAGATCTGACTGCTAAATCTGTAATTAAATGGTTGTAGACAGGTGTTTGCAACATATACAGACTCTTCTGGCATTGGAAGTGAAGGAATGGGGGGCTGTCCTCCCACTTACCTGTAGGAGGTGGATATAGACATTCCCTCGGTGGTGATCTTTGAGGGGATGGGGTGCCATATATTGTATAATTTGCTAACAATAATAATTATAATTTGTCATTTATAATGGGAACTGCCAGACATGTACACTGTGGTAGGGGATGTCATTTATAATACCAGCCTACTTTAGATAGCATAGATTATTTAGCTCCTACCTCAGCATAAATAATGGCTCAGGAAGGAGTTGTTAAATCAATGCTCAATCGTATTAACCTGTCTACCAAAAAAGTCTACATCATATCACTAAAGAATGTCTAGTAAAATACTTCTATATAGAATTTAGTCAATATTTAATACACACTTATAAATGGCTACATCATTGTCATTGTCAACATTGTTCTTTATTTATCCTATATATGTTTGAAACTCAAAGTAGAATAAATAGCGACAAACTCCCTTATCTCCTAAGCAATTTTATATTTTAGAATTGCTAATGACAAAAACTCCTATAATTTTGAAGGTCGTCTTGGCCAGACCAATTTCATGCACCATAAGCTGTCTTGTTTAAAGATAAAAATTTCTAAATATTGGCTTCACTTCTTGCTACTACTTAGACATAATCAATGAGTGAATGATGAGAGTTTGGCCCTAAGTTAAAGGATTTAACTCTCTGTGGTAATAATTTATGCAAGTGTTAGATGTTAGCATTAACTTTATTAATGGAATTCTTAAGTATGCCAACTAGTGCTTATTTTATCGGTTATGCAAATTGTGAAAGCTAAAATGTTTGCATATATTGGTTTATAGCAAAATACAATTTTCACACTCTATTCATAAATTGCATTATGATACTAAAAAGAACTATTAAAACTGCCAAATGTACTGTTTAGAGTCAACAATACGTTATCATATGTTTCATGTGATTTTAGTAGCCCTTATCCTTACTTTTGATCCCAACATTTTCCTAATTACAAAATAAAAAGCTACTGGTTTATTTTGTTAAATGTTACTAAAATGTTATTAATTACATACATTAATCTACTGCCTTCAGTATATGTTTTTATTTTAGACAAGTTAAACTACTGCAGGAGAGGCTCTGGAGGAATCTGGCCTCTTAGACTACAATTCATGGCTTTTGAACTCAAACTGAGCCCTAGAGATACCCGTGGGCCACACGGCTGTGGAAGAGGTAGCAGCCCCAAGATCGGGAGGTTTGGACCCACTGTGGGAAGCACAAAGCTTCGGAGGCTGCTGCCCACTCGGGAAGAGAACGGGGTGGATGGCATTTCCTTCACACTTAATAGCATGTGTTCAGACCCCATATACGCTACACTTTTTATACACGCTTCTACCATGCTATTCGATGTCATTTGTAAGGTTTGCCATGCATGTTTCACTCAAATCAAATGACTATGGAACCACATGCCTGTCTCTCTAATCATGAACACCAACTACATGTCAGCAATGTTAAGCATATTCATAACACAAAAATGTGCGATTTTTCCATGTAACTGTTTACGCGTACGCTGTTGTGGTGTTTGTTGATGCTATGTACTCTCATGCACACAAAAAACAAAACAAAACTGTATTGACTAACATTTTTTAATGTAGGAACCCTAACCCACATCTGGGATATATATGTCTTGGCCTATTTTTATTAGTGAGAATTACACTCCTGTAAACAGTTCTGATTTTCAGACACCAATAATAAAGAAAAAACAAGACAATGGATAAGTGTTAGATAACTGAACAAAAAGAGAAAAATATGGCAGCAAAAACTCCCCCAAAAATTGTATATCAAAGAAAAAAACATGAACCTAGGTGCAACCATTATTAAAGTAACACTGTGTTAGGAATAAAAACATGCAGTTGTGGACTAAGTCTAAAAATATATTTTTATAAGAAATAAAAATTTTCAAAAAAGCACAAGTGGGGAAAAATATTGTGAAAAAAATATATATATTAGTTGTTAAAGTGTACATAAATTGTACTTATTACTGGCAGTATACAGTAGATACTAAATGTAAATAAAGATTGTTATAATTTAATTTTAAAATTATTTTTTATTTAACCCCTTAGTGACCAGACCGTTTTTCAATTTTCTTACCGTTAAGGACCAGGGCTTTTTTCACATTTTTGTGGTGTTTGTGTTTAGCTGTAATTCTCCTGTTACTCATGTACCATACCCACAAATATTAAATACAGTTTTTCTCACCATTAAATGGTCTTTCTAAAGATACCATTATTTTCATCATATCATATAATTTACTATTAAAGAAATTCTAAAATATGATGAAAAAAATGTAAAAAAATCACACTTTTTCTAACTTTGACCCCCAAAATCTGTTGCACATCTACAACTGTGAAAAAAAAAATCCATGCTGAATAGTTCCACATTTTTGAGTTTAGAAATACCCAATGTTAACCTGTTCTTGGCTTTTTTTGTGTGCAAGTTATAGGGCTATACATACAATTAGGACATTGCTGTTTCAAAAGATATATATTTCTTAAAATGTATCAATTTTGACATGACAAAAAACAATTATGAACGCTAACTTTGGCCAGTGTTTGTGACTAAGTGGCTACTAAAACAAACTGAATTTGGGGAATGACTAAGACAGCAAACAGAACGGTTGCATGGCATCTGTGCTCTGGCAAGACAGAGAATATAACAGGGGAAATCCACACTTCACACCCACTAAAACCAAAACTTATGTTTGTCCCTCAGCCTGCACACAATGGAGAAGAGAACTAAGAAACTTAAAGTTCTCTTGGGAGAGAGATCGCAAAATATCGGCGACCTGCTGCAGCCCGTACCTAGGCCCAACATGGTGGCACAACGAGACTCCCGCTCATCTGTATCCTCTGCGGAGGATACTCTTGATGCCCCAGACAATATTCCTGATACAGGGGACCTTAATACCTCTTTGTCCACAGAGGACCTCAACACCACAGCCACCAAGGGGGATATCTTGGATCTGATGAAGAATATGAGAGCTTTCTTTAACGCAGACCTAGCAGTGGTGAGAGAAGAAATCTCTGCAATGATGGCTAGAATTCAAGTAGCAGAGGAAGATGCCTCCTCCATAGCCCAGAGACAGGTGTGTGCTGCAGAACAAACGACATTACTACAAGCCACAAGCCACACAGCAAGCCCCAATGGCAAGCTAAATCAATACAGGTTGAAAGCTGTCATCGCCTGTCCACCTCGGCTAAAGCGCTGGCAGGAGCACCCAGGGATGTATTGATCCACTTCTCGTTATTTAAGGACAAGAGAATGGTGATGGAGACACTGCAAACACAGTCACCCCTGCATTCAAGTTTTCCAGCCTAACATTTATACAAGACCTTTGCAGATCAACACTGGGTGGCACCAAACCTTCCAACCTATCACGAAGACACTCAGAGCGTCTAAGATCCTCTATCGCTGGGGGCCAGCTCACTCACTGTCAGCCACTAAAGAAGACACCACCTATAAACTCACATCAATGGCAAACTCAGATTTGTTCCTCCATTCCCTGGGCCTACCATCCTTACCCAGCTCCTCTTCAGAGCCCACCATAACATGGGACGTACTTTCCATAGTCCCTTTTGTACCTCGCTCTGTCAAGGATGAGGGATAAGAGGGTCTGCTGCTGGAACATTGTTTGCCCCCTCCAACCTCCCCGGGTCCGGGTCACAGAACTTTATCTACCACCCACATCACAGTGGGCATATTTAATCTGGGTTAATGATATGCGATTAATATTATTTTCCTTTTATTGATTTTACTTACCATTTTACAAAATTAACTCTTGGGTATGTCCCACGACATAACGCGCTGTCACGCATACAATCATCTGCCCTCTGGCTCAGGGGCACGGAGTTATACCAACCACCCACATCACAGTGGGCACATACAATCTACGTCTATTATGTGCAACTAAAGTTATTTTTCCTCCTATTTATTTTCCTCACCATCGGATAAATTGTGTCGTTAGCTGTGTCCCATGACATAACGCGTTGACATGCTTATATTCCCCACCCCCCCTCCTACCTCTCCCCACTGGCTCAGTGTCGCAGATCTTTAACAACCATCCACACCACAAGGGGCACATTTAATATCTATGTTTACATTCTGCTACTACTGTTATCGTGTTACCTGTTGCTTTTTTCTTCATTTTACTTAAAACAAGAGGCTTGACTAATCGTACTGTGAAAAACAAATTATTGTATACCATGCTTATGCTATAGTGACACAGTCATTAATGTATCATTGACATACTTGTTAAACTGATGCCTAAATAAAAAATAAAATTAAAAAAAAGACTGAATATACCCCATTTGCAATAACTTGGGTTGTCTTCTTTTGCAAATGGTATGCCATCATAATTCTGATTCCTGGGCTACCATGCGCTCTCAAAGGCAACAACCAATCTGGCAAATTTCAATTTGAAAAAAATGGAAAATCAAGCCTTATATTTGACCCTGTAACTTTTAAAAACACTATAAAAACCTGTACATGGGTTATTCTGTTATACTCGAGAGACTTCACTGAACACAAATATTAATGTTTTAAAACAGTAAAACGTATCACAATAATATCATCAGTGAAAGTGCCATTTGTGTGTGAAAAATGCAAAAAAGTCACTTTCACTGACAATATCATCGCTGTGATATGTTTTACTGTTTTGAAACACTAATATTTGTGTTCAACGAACTCTCCCGAGTAAACCAGTACCCCCCCCCATGTAAAGGTTTTAGAGTTTCATGGAAAGTTACAGGGTTAAATACAGTGCTAGTAAATTAAATTATCTGGACTTTCTGCCTGGGTTGTCAGGCAGGTCCCTCAAATTGCAATCAGTAAAATTACTTATATATGTAAATATTACAAAAATATGCATGTAGAATTTAAATAATAAAAAAAAAAATATATATATATATATATATATATTATTTGAAGTCTACATGTATATTTATGAAATTATTTATGTAATTATGTATATGGATATATAGATATATATATATTTCATCTTATTTTTATTTATATAAACATAGATATATATATATATATAATTTCATTCTAAGTTTATTTTATATATATATAATACAGTAGATATTGTTTTTATAAGTATATATATATATATATATATATATATATATATATACATACACGTGTGTAACTTACATATTATGTATAGATATAATATTTGTATGTATATATACAGGGAGTGCAGAATTATTAGGCAAGTTGTATTTTTGAGGATTAATTTTATTATTGAACAACAACCATGTTCTCAATGAACCCAAAAAACTCATTAATATCAAAGCTGAATATTTTTGGAAGTAGTTTTTAGTTTGTTTTTAGTTTTAGCTATGTTAGGGGGATATCTGTGTGTGCAGGTGACTATTACTGTGCATAATTATTAGGCAACTTAACAAAAAACAAATATATACCCATTTCAATTATTTATTATTACCAGTGAAACCAATATAACATCTCAACATTCACAAATATACATTTCTGACATTCAAAAACAAAACAAAAACAAATCAGTGACCAATATAGCCACCTTTCTTTGCAAGGACACTCAAAAGCCTGCCATCCATGGATTCTGTCAGTGTTTTGATCTGTTCACCATCAACATTGCGTGCAGCAGCAACCACAGCCTCCCAGACACTGTTCAGAGAGGTGTACTGTTTTCCCTCCTTGTAAATCTCACATTTGATGATGGACCACAGGTTCTCAATGGGGTTCAGATCAGGTGA